TGACCATGCTCACTCCTGCCAGCAGCGTGTGACACAGAGGAGCAAGAGCACTTTCAAGTACACAATGTCGCTCCTAAATACAGCTAAATAACCGAGTTTTAGGAAATTAATAGTAAGTTGCGTTATCAGAGACATTTTCAGACTGCTCAGAGAGCACTTAGAAAAGAGTTAGGGTAGAAAAACCCAAAACACCTGAAATCCCAAAACACAGATCTCGGCAGATTTTTTTCTGTCATTTCCCAGTCCACACATGAAGGCAAAAGATGGAAAACATTCCCCTTTCTTTTCAATGATTAAAAAAATCCTCCAGAAAAAAAAAATATTCTTCACAAGTCCCTTTTAGACCACACTTATGTGCAGCCAAGTGATGGATTTAAAAGGTTACTGCTGGAATATGGTTCACAGCAGTCTATTGCAGTGAATAAATATCATGTTTACATATCCATTATAACAAAACTATGTTGCACTTCCATTACTTCATGTTGGTTTGCCATCTGGAAGCTAAACAAGCTGCATAGTAAAAAAAGAATTCAATTTTGCATTTACCAAAAGGAGCCATACAAGTTTCAATTTATAGCAGGCGATTACACAACCTTAGCAGGCAGAAATCTGCCCATGGAGAGTCAGAGCCGTGCCCACACAGGAGGGCAGTTAATGCAGCTACGAGGGTTCAAGCTGTGCCGAACAGCCCCTTAGAGAACTGATCTCGCACAGTAGCATCAGTCCAGAGACCAGTCTGAAAACACGCTGGTGGGAAACTCTTCCCACATACCCCGAGAGGACTGCACACAGAGCCGAATACAGAGCAGGGTGGCACTTCTCAGTTTATGTTGTGTGTCAGGCTTTGTATTGCATATTCAGAAACACCCCGAGAAAGTGGCATTTCCTTGCTGTGAGCCAAGAAAAAACCCACGCGAACAATTCTGCCCATCTCCACGCATCTGCCCCCCCCAAAAATCGCCCTGGAGGCAACAGTCGTGGGGTCACCAAGCCCAGACCAGGCCAGACTGGGACTGGGACTCTCCTCAAACCCACTCTCCTTGAGCGGGGCAGCCTGGCATGCAGCCACCCTCCTCCTGCCCCCTCAGCAGAAGGCAGCCCCGCTGCTGGCGGGGGTCACGGCCCAAGCCTCCCTCCCGTTCCCCCCGCCGCCCTCGGTACCACCGAGACATGGACCAACACCCCCCTCACATATTCCTGCTCCCCAGATGCCGAGCGGCAGCTGCGAATTGCCCGGGTGCCCCGATGGAGGGGTTCTCCACCCGCCCTCTCCTGCCTTCGTGCCAGCCTCCGGGAGCTTTAGCTAGTGCCGGCTGCAGTTTCCAACCCCAGAGGGGGGATGGAGGCGCACGCGTCTTCCTTCCATTTGCTATGCAGCCCTTTGACTTTTGTTCAGATAAAACGAGCATCCTTCCTGCCGACACACTCGCTGCTGGAAGTAGAAAACCAACTCGCCAGTCTAAACTGTTTTCTTGCTGCAGGTGCTGCTCTTCCCCAGAGCCAGCCTCCGGCCACTGAGGTGCCAGCCCACTTCCCGCATGGACCCAGCCTTAGGGCAAGACCCTCTGCCCCTCACACCCACTGCTGTAGAGAAATGCTGCATCTTTGCGGTATCTCTCTAGACTAAAGCATTGCTGGAAATCACTTCCAGCATCCCATAACACATCCTCCGTAAGTCCCCGCGCTCAGGGGCGACCGCAGCTCCTGCTCCAGCTGCCCCCACTGTGCTCCGCATCCCTCGGCTGCGCTCCAGGCATGCAGCAGGCTCTGCGGTCAGGAGCGAACCCTGAGTGTACCCAGCCAGCAGGGACAGGCAGTAAACCCAGTACCAGCTACCTTGTCAGCAATAGCTCACTCGTGACAAGCACTGAGAAGAGTAAAGCCTCGTTACAGACAATTCCAAGCAGCAACACAGATGCCAGTTTAACTCAAACTTTCATCAGGAAATGCTGAAAACTGGGACCCAAGAGGAAAGTTACACTATTGTTGTAGAAACTGCAAAGACGCCTTGCTATAAGCAGCCTTTACTCTCGGGCCTTTCTGTAATTTATCAGTTGTATGACTGAACAGAGTATTTTTCCTGCCACAGTTCTGATCACCTCTTCCTCACTCCAGCAGTTATGTTATTTTTAAATTCTTGAAATAAAGACCAGATCGTTACTAGGGTGCTCCATGAGAAGAAAACTGAAGCCAGGGAGGGGAGGCCAGACCCAGCTTCCCACAGGGCACAGAGAGGCAAGCTTGTGTCCAGTATGTACCGAGCACAAAGTCTCTTCTTCCACTCCACAGCTCTTGCAGCACTTACTGGGGCCTGATCAGGGAGCAAAAGGACCCCACGCTACCTAACAGTGACCATGCATTTTTAAAAAAAAATAATTCAAAATCACAAATGCTTTCTGAAATCCAGCAGCTTCAGCAGACTGGCAGCCCATGGTCCATTTCTAGATTTCTCATCCCATGGGGCAATGGTTTTAATCAGCGTTAGCAAGCTTCTGCTCCTCATCTTGAGGCCAGCTAACTTACCAGGAGACGCATCCAATCAGTGACGCAGCCAGGGAAGGCCAGCACTGCCGGGCAGAAACACAAACTCCTCCACAAGCCCCTCTCGCCTTGGGCAGCTGCCTCTGCTGCTCTCCCCACACAGGCCTGGAAGCCAGCAGTCTGGGAAGCAGAGGCAGCTGCGAAGCCCCTTCGCAGGTGAGAGCAATGAGGACAGAGAGAATGGGACCAGCTGGGGAGGGACACTACTGCCCTCATCAGCACCCCCGGCACCATGCACTGCTCAGGGGGCACCCCCCACCCATAACCCCCTTCTCCCGTCTGGACTTCACCTCTGGTGCTCTGAGCGGCTTCACCTCTCCCAGTCTAACACATCTCTTCATTCTTCTGAGGAGCACCGCAACTGCTCTGGTACGTAATGCAATCATCTGGTGCAACCTACTTGCAGCCGCATCTGTTAATTTTCTTTCTTACTCCATTTCTAATTATTTCTCCAGAAGTCTGTTCTGAAGCTGTGCATATCACTGACACCAGACTAAATTGCCCAACTGCTCCCCCACATCCCATACGTATTCTATACTCATCTCACCCCAGCTTAAAAGGTTTCTCAGACATCCTTGCCAGGAGACCCGCAAGTTTACATGCCGCTTCCTCAGGTGTTCTGCAAGAGCAGTTGTTCACTACTCCAGTCTGAAGGAGCCACGCTTTTGGAAGTCAGCCTCTGCACCAAGCAGGGCGACCTCCATGCCTCCATTCCCTAATGACAACTCAACAATGCTGCAGCCTCCTCCTTACACCACCTCGTCCTCTCTGACCAGTAGGGTGGATCCCTTCCTTCCATAGGCAAGATGCAGAATCAGCACCAGCTGTGACACACGAAGACAGCCACACACCAGACAGCCACTGTAGACCAAGAGCATCAAATGCAAGTGTCTGCAAAATGGTCAGCCTGGCACATCAAGGTAGGCAGTCATAATACGCAACAAAAGCAAAACATCATCTTCCTACTCTAGAGAGTGGCAAGGTTCCAGCTAAGTATGTATTGCTCGGCTTGAAATCCTAAAAGAAAACAAAAATCCAAACAAGCCCTTCCCTCCCCAATTGCTACTAAAATTCAAACATAGGTTTGAGCTCATAACCACTGCAGCGCATCCTTAGAGGACTTCCAACCTTCTTGTACAGCTCAATAAACTAAATGCCAGCTCATTACCAAACTACAAATACTAATACCTAAGACAAGAGACAGAGCATTTTATGTTCAAATTTATTTAATTAAATTTCATTGACTGTTTTACCATAGGTCACACCAGAGACTGCCAAAGTAAACTAAACATTTTACATTCACTACAAGATTCTCTCAAATTTTCACAACTAGTCCAAAAACATGAAAGTTGTAGGGTCCCTTTCCATCAGTTTGCATTACAACTCACATTAATGACAGCAGGACTCATATTCCAGCACTGAAGAGAACGGAGCCCTTGGGTTCCCAGGTGCACAGCAGCACTGCTGGCTGCAAACACTTCTAAAATCATATGCGTGTGTCTATGTGCGCGCATGTGTCTCTGCATATTTACAAAACCAACCTCCTGATGGTACAGAGGACAAATAACCATTTAACTGCTAACCCAGGAAGGAAAAAAAAAAAAAAAAAAAGAATTTTGCAGCACAGAGGGTAGGAGGGTGCAATTACACAGGAGAGAGGTACAAACGCCCACACACTGGCAGACGCGTCAGTGCCTGGCACCGGCAGGGCAAGTTGTACGGCAGAGCTGGCCTACCCTGGAAGCTTAGGAAAATTTTGCCACTGCTTGGAATGGAAATCAGATTGCTCCTTTTGTAAGCAAAGTAGGTCCAAAATGATTCCAAATTACTTGGATGTATGTGAGATTCTAAAGATGGAAGCTTAAGCAAGGCTTGCCCCACTGAGGTTTCTGGGGATACTGGGAGGAAACCAGGCATTAATAAAACTTTATCTAACTTCTGTTTTTAAAATAATTTGTTTCTGATCTAGCAAGCATTTTGATAATATATATCTATGATATGCTCTGAATATTTCCTTAAAAAAATGCTGAAGACATTTTCCCTATTTGAGAGTTATCTACAGAAGGTCTTTATTATACCATCTTTTCTTTTACGTGTCTACTAACAAATATCAGAGAAATACGTCAGATGCTACAATTTAAACTTTCATCATATCTGAAAGTATACATCTCTTTTAAAGTGTATTTTCAACATGAAAAGAGCTAAAGTCACAATTATATTCCATTGCGTTATGTGTGTGAAATCAAGACCATTTGCATAGCTTCCAAAGTGAAACTCTGGAAAATAGCGATTTCATTAACAAGAAGTATTACTTTAGGGAAGGGCTACCATCCCCCTTCACTTTCACTGCACGGCCTAAGATATACTTGAAATATTCTACAAGTATTGTCAGTATCTTTGTCTAAAAAGCCAGCTTCTGGAAAATTTCAAGTTGCAATTATTTTATAAATCACAAGCCATTTTTCCTTAATCTTGCCAATTTTAATGAAGAAAAAACATTAGCATTTCAATGTACAAAAGTCCAATAAAACATGATTTTTTTTTCTTTTAAATCAGTGAATGGGTAAAGTTTGGGTTAAACTTATTTAACAGTAAAAGTCTTCCAATTTCTACTAATAGAATTTTTTTTTGATTTGACTATAGGATAATGACAATCCAGAAATAAATAGCTATAAATACATTCATTGTTCCTATTCCAAAAATAATCACATAGAGAAGACAAAACTGAAATGAACTTATCTGAATGTCTTTCTTTACAATGAGATATGGGCAAGTTATAGCAGAGCGACTCAAGACAGGAAAAAAACAAGTAGGGAATAAATTGGTCCAGTATTGACATTCATGAAACATACCAGTTAGCATAATTCTGCAGTTAATTCATCCTTTAAATGACACTACTCAGTTGATTTTTATTTGCTTCAGGTATACATAATGAAAGCAGTTTCCTTTGAATCTTTGCTGAGGACAGGTATAGTACCCTGGAGACACTGTAACAACCCCCTTCAGTATGCATGTGCGTATATATAATTATATACAAATAATCATGCATCCACACACACATTTGTATATCAACACTGCATGTGACGGTTAAATCCATCATCATTCATCATTGGCAGCACTTGTTCCTCTGACTTGGCCTTGATTACGTAACTGCAGAGAAAGAAAATACACAATTAAGCATTAACAGTTTCCTTAAACAGTAAGTTCCAAATAGGCAGTTTTATTAATCTCTAAGAAAAATAGGGCAGGGCAGTCAAAACATCACCAGGACTGAGCAAATCATACCAAAGCAATGCAAGACTTGTTAGGGAATCTTAATTTGGGTGCTGTCCTCACCGGTGGACAGCAGCTCCGGTCTCCGAGGAGCCTCACACTAATCAGAAGGCTTTTAAAACTGCTTTGGCTGGGGATCCCATCTGCAGTATTAAAACAGTCACGGGGGAAACACCAACATTAAAGTACTGGACACAAATACTCAAAAGCTTGCAACTCTTGGACAACCTGTTTCCCGCAGTAACAGTTTTAACACTATTTAGTATTTATAAGAATCTGTGTGGAACTGGATTTCAAGAACTTACGCTTTCAAGATGACAGTCCACAGTTTCCCTAAATTATGTGGACTAAGTGTGTAGCAAAATGATGCTCAACGACTTTTCTGATTTGTGCCAAAAAGACTACTTGCAGGCTTAGGAGCTCAGTGCCAGCACAGTGATGACAACAGGTCACGCACTTTGGGCTTCTGTACTAGATAAGCACAAAGAACCAGGTTACGTGGCCAATACCTCAGGCATTCTGCCACCAGACCGAGCACCTGCCCAGCCTATGACAGTGCCCATCTGTGGAGAAGGTCTCTTATATACCCTGGACACTAAGGGTCATCTCCCAAATGCTGATCACCACAAGGCTGTCAAACAGGAGGGAGGCAAGGCCCAGAAGTGTTATCTGGATATATGTCCATTTAGATGATTTCTGCCAGCAATTCCCATCCATCAGAACATTAATCACTTTTCTCCTTTTCCCTCCAGCAGTTGACTTACACAGCTTGATTTGCCTCAGAACCTACAGAGAACTCCTCTAGACGTCAGCAGCCAAAGTGCCTCGAACGGAACCCTTCTTACGCATCTAAACGTAAAATAAAACTGTGAGCTACCACATAAAGAACCTATTGCGCTGTTGGTTAGTAAGAGAGAAGTAACAACCTACATGACCAGGACTGCTTTTCCCTTGCCCGGAGCAGAACCAGCCTCAGCTAGAGCTGAGCGTTTTTGGAGATGGGGTGTACAGTATTTCTTTTTGGTGAGGAAGCCTGGGAACTGTACAGCAGCTGTAAATGATGCTTCTTAAATTTTAACAGCCCATGATGCTTCAGCACAGAGCAACACTGCTCAAAATACCCGATGTGGCATTTCTACCCTCACAAAGACATGAGGTAGGTCGGTCACAGTGCTTTGGCAGGGTCGGATGCTTTTCTACTATGCACTGATTAGCTGATGTGTATTTAACGAAGCACAGGTGCTCCTCATCTCCAGGAGTCAGATACATAAACCACTAAGTGAAAGATAAACAGTGAAAAAAGGATGAGCTGGGATAGAGAAACTCTGGAAGAACACTGATGAAGATTCAGAAAGTAACAAAAAAGTAACAAAAGCAGAGATCCCCACTATAAAAATCAACTTACGATGAAGAACAGGACCAACCAAACAACTGAAATGTGCACAGAATCCAAAGAGAAATATTAGCTCACACCAGGAAGAAGAAAGGGTGTTAATGAGAAAGGGAATAGCAAAAGAAAGCAATGTATGTAAGAAAATGTAATGCTGCCAATATTACTACGCTTGCTTTCTGCAGTTCTTTAAGCATCAAAGAACTACATAGTGCAACACTGTCAAAAAAGCTGACGACTACTCTGCAGGGACAGAAGCATGAGATATTCTTGTCATATTAAGCACCTTATCACTAAGCGCTTGCTTCCCAGAGGTCCTGGCCATAAAACAAGTGTTTTGTGGCATACTTGGGATTTAATGAAAGTTACTATTTAGCACAATGGATGAAATAGTTGAATATGAAACATAAAACCAAATCATTTGGGGTAAAATTACCATTCATATTTTATTTGGCAGTGACATTTTTGCCTTTAAGTTATTCTCCAATAATATACTTCACCACAAAAACCTTGAAATTGCATCATTTATAGGTGTTTGTAGATACCCCTATTATAACAGTTGAGAAAAACCAAAATATTTTAACAGTAGGTCCCCACTCCTCTCACATTTCACAATATGCATAGAAAAGCTGTGTTAGTGTAACTAATCAAGACATTTCTCTCATGAAAAACTGACTTTTTTCAACAAGCAATACACTTAAATTCCTGATGCTAATGTCTTACACAACAAGCTATTTGAAATAAACTATTTGCATTGCTTTGCAAAACAAGAAAATATTAAGTAAATACATTTTATATTTAAGAATGAGGGTAAATGTTACACCCAGAAACACATGATCCAGGTTTTGCTTAAGGTAAGAACTAGAAAGCAGCAAATATTTTGCAAAAAAGATTTAAAATAAATTACTTACCAACGAGAAATGTGAAACAGAACTTTGTCTACAAGAAGACAAACATCCACAGTGACACAAAAGGGAAATTTTCTCATGCACACAGATGTGTCAAGTGCTGCTTACTCTCTCCAATACATACCTTGTATGCACTCCTCACACTGTCACTATCCCTTCTCAGAGAAATTGGATGAAGTCCGTTTCATTCCAAATAAAGAACTATGGGTGTGCAAAAGAGAACCCTTCTGACAAAAATCAGTTATAGAGAGGAAAGTAGTTACTCTTCCTCCTTCACAGACACCTAGGAATAGGTGGCTCTAAGAATAGGTTCTGGCATAAAACAGAATTAAAGAAGAAATCCACATGATTTGAGAGAACACCTGCCATAATCAAAAATATCCAAATGCCAATGAGAGCGCACAATGTTTGCAAGACTGAGTGAACATCATTCTTTTCCAAAGCATATTCTGGGAACTGCCAAAACAGACAAACCCTTTGGCTTATTTGAAGAGAAAGTTTGGTTTTACCAGCTCAGAACATCTACCTATTAACACACAGAACACTGAAGAAACACTTATTCCAAATCCAGAAAACATCTCTACACAATGCACGATGGTTCCACACCATTCATAAAGTCCGAACATGGAGAGCATAACAAGTGGGGATGGAGGAGCTACAGCTAGTTTTGATACTAAAAGAAAAGATGTGCTATCCACAAACAACACTAGCCACTGTCAACAGTAGGTCTAAAGCACAAGGCAATCTGTTTAAATATGTCTGGCACCCGAAATGAGTTAAACCATGCAAAAAAGTGAGTTATAGCTGAAGACACATTGTGTCTTGAAAGAACCAAGACAATGGAAGGAAAGTGACAAGCTGAATGGGTTTGGGGCATAAAGCAACCAGCAAAACAGGAAGGGGATAGAATTGCAAATCCAAAGACTGCAAAGAACTTAAAAAACCAGCATGATTTAAAATGAGAAAGGTTCATGCCAAAGGTCATGCTCTGGAAAGACACTACAGAAGAAGGCTTCCTGCCTAGCCTGTGCTGTTCCTCTACCTCTCAAAGGAAAGAGTACAGAGTGTGCCCTATGGATGAGTTTCCTTCTAGGCATCAGTCCAAAGACAGATCAGGCTATATGTATTTGGTCCTTGCAGCCACTAAAGCATGAAAAATTGAAACTATCTCAAGCCCGTTAATTTTACTTATTTCCTTTTTGCAAGTAGAATTCTCAGTTTTGGCGTGCTGATCAGCATGAGTTGAACAGCTGTCATGTGATTTATAGAAACTTGCCTGAAGACATGTTTGAAGAGAAAAAGTAATCAGAGCTAATGATGATTAGAAACAAAAAAAAGCAAGACACACGATGGAAAAGCAAGATGACGGCTCTGAATTCTAACTGACAAGTGGTAAACAGGCACTGAATGGGACTTTGTGCAATGGGTATGTTACCATAAATAAAAAGGTGGTCAGGGCAGACATTCTGGATTTAGTGACATCAGATATATTTACCTTACAGCCACTTCCAGCTTGACACAACACAGTATGCAGAAGCTTGAAGTGCATGGGTCTGCACAGGAGAATCACTAAAGGGGCTGTAATGTTCATCAGCAATTGCCCAAACACACATAAGGGGATGGACACAACATAACTTGCATCGATTCCCAAATAGATAAAGCTACAGGTAGATAGCACACAAACATCAACCTTAAAAAAACTGTTCTCACCGCTTCCAGCTCCTTTTGAGTTTCATCCTCCATTCTCCTAATGTCTTCCATAGTCAGATCAATCCACTTGTCAATCCAACAGAACAGCTGGCGATGAAAGTTGGTAAATATCCTTTTTTCTTGCTTTAAGGAGATAAAGAAAAATCAGATAATAGCCTACATATTGCCAAAGACTGGTGAAGTGATTGCAGTTGTTCAATCTGAAAAGTTATAATCTCTAGGTGCATGCTGTTTCACACTGCTACAGGTTCAGCCCCCTCACGTTCCTGAATCCAATTTAAAGCCATCTCATTTCTCACATGCTTTAACATGGAAAAAAATTAACAAATTTCACTATCAAAAAAAAGTTTCCAGAAAGTTCAGCAATTCATGTTACTTGAAAATGCTGAAGAATCTTTCTAAAATCTGTTCTAGCTCCAAGATAGCACTAGACAGAAAAAATGTAGCATCACAACAGCTAGAACATTTAACATGAAGTGTACACAAATCTGCGACAGAACTGCTGCAGGTTCTGTGCTTACTGTTAATAAAAACCAAGAACGGCCAATCCCTAAAGCCAGAATACAGCAAAAAGGGAGTACTTCTGACTCCAAAGATGGCATGCTTGCAATTTGTACCAAATTGGCATCCCAGTAATATCTGACATGCAATTTCAAAGGTACAAAAACATTGAGAGTATAAATATTCCAGCTAAGGATTCCACAGCCCTTTCATTAAAGTACGCATATAATCAATCACAGTAAGAATATTTTCACTGTACCTCTTCTACTTAAATCGGTAGGTTTCACATTTCAAAACACCTGCCATCCCCCAAACCCCACTGTGTTATGTTGAACTGCAACTTGCCAGCTCAGTCCACCTCTAGTGCCCTGCAATCCCAACTTTTATAATGGGGACTTGAATGAAAGATGCATCATATAAATCATTCAATTTGCAGAATTACCAGTATTGCTTCCGACTGCTCTGATAAAAGTAGTCATGTATATACAATACAAAAATCTATTTTACTACTAAAACTGACTTTTCAATGTATTCAGTTACCCAAGCTGCCACCTGAAGTTCACGTCTTGTTCATCTGCTCCCAGATTTTGCATTGCTCAAGCTGCCGAACGGCCTCAGAAACAATGCTGATCAAATCTAACATACGGTTCTTGACAACTAGCAGGCAGAGGTAACTTCCTCTAAAGAATCAGCTTTAGGTAAACCAAGGTTAAAAAAAAATTTCCTATCTTCAAATACTCCTCATCAGACCACAGAATCATGTCTTGACTCTTCTGCTCAGCTTATTCCCTAACAGTGTTCAGTTTGAAATGTGTGATGGGCAACTCCTTCCCAAAACCACCACCAGTCTAAAGACAGTGTTCAATGTCTCCTTACCCTTACTTTGTACTGTGGCCATCACAAACTATGTCTCCATCTCATTTTCAATTACTATTGTTTGAAGCTTTTCTCTTTTGCTGTCACATTTATTGAAATTCATAAGCATTTAATGCAGTTAGCTGTGTGGTCCACTCAGAGCTAAGAGCCCTGGCTACCACAATGAAAAAGGTCTGGCATTGGTTGTCTGTGAGGAAACACCATGGCTAATTGGTAATAAAATATCATGTTTTGGTTAACTCACTGTTACAGCAGATTTTCTCTGGATTGGAAGGAACTGGCATGATGGTCTAGATTAAAGACTTTGCCTATACTAAGTTTATGTTCTAAATGTTTAGTCATACATTCAAAAATATTTTATAATTCAAATTCTGATAATACAGCAGTAACAAAATAAAACGCAAACACAAACTGACAAAACACCACAATTGCCAACTAAATCCTAGTGCATTGGATTCTACCTGCGTCACACCTGGTTTTGCAAGCAATAATTAAAAAAAAAATCAAATATTTAGAATTAGCAGAAACACAGGAAGAGTTTCACAAGAAAACTAGAACATAAAATACTAGAGCAACATTAGCACACATTTTTTGCAACTTTCAACTTAAGAGGAAAAAAAAGAATCAAAGAACTCTTTCTGCCAAGTGTTGCTGGTTACAGAATCAAGTGTTAAACCTATGTGACCACAGACTCTTTGCTTATACCTTTGCTTTTTTAACTTAGAAAGTTATTCTAGTAACACCAGTGAAACACCATTGCTAGTAGATCAAGACACGAATGGTTGTACTTGCTGAAGAAAAGAACAGAAATTGCTTGACTGTGAGCAACAGGAAACTTCACCACTGTTTCTCCTCAAAAACCCCCACATCAACACAGAACCACCCTGCCTACTTACCTGCCCACCTCCAACCCCACCTCCCCAGCAACATCCCTGCAAGGGAGAAGCACTTACCTTTTGTATAAAGTTTTCAACTTTGTTCTGCAGTCCCCACCATTTAAATTTGATAGTCACCAACTTGTAAGCACACATTTTAGGACACTCTTCGTCAGTTGCTAGCTCTTTCTGTTTAAGGATAATGGGAAGGAATTTTTAATTTTTTAAAAATTTACTTCAGTCAATTTAATACATTTATTAGAAATTATAATTCTAAGTATTCTATTAGAATTAGAAATTATATTGTTAATTTATAGTAAATTAAGTAAATTATATTTATAAATTATAATTCTAAGTATTATTAGAATTCTAAGTATTAGTAAATACTAAGTATTAGTATTATTATTTTATTGTCTAAGTCTAAGTATTATTAGTAAATTCTAAGTATTAGTAAATACTTAGCACTGTACTATGAACATGGGGTAATAGGGATTAACAAACAATCAGGTTAAATCTGTAAGACAATTCCATCCATGTTGCAAACTTCTACTATAAATCTTAGTCTTAACATGGATTTCATTTTCATGATTTCCACTGTAATATACTTTCTGACATTCTGAAAGGACAATGAAGCTTGATTACAATAGCTAGCACCAAATTATTTTTTACTTTTTGGTCTATTGCACAAAGGCAATTATAATCTGTGTTGTACCAAGTTGCTCAGTACAATGGTGGAAAACACATGCTAGAAAAGATTCAGATAATAAAAAGCACATAATCACCCCTCAAGTTTGCTTCTCACAAAAGCATAAAATTTGAGCTTATTGCAGTTCTGCTCTGCCCATACAGACACTGGCATGCTCACCCCTCTTCCTCACATCCCTCTCCTGCAGACAATGCCAGAGGGTATGTCTTTACCCAGGTGTAGAGGTAATTTCTAGTTGTGGGCCATAACTTACATATTCATTTTTGCATAATGAATTGCAGACCTTCTGACTGCTACTATGAGAAAAACAGGGAGAGAGCTCCTTTATCATCAATGGCAACAGGCAGCCATAAGACCAACTAAAACTCCACTTCAAAGACTGCCTGGAAGCAGCTCCAGCTCAAGGACTTCGTGCAAAAGAAGGATCCCCAGAAGAATGAACTGAGGGAAACTCAGGAGACGCCCACCACTGTTTCCTACAATTCCTCTGTTTCTGTTATAGTTCCTACATCCAAACAATTCTGAAGTACCTGTAACATCATACACAGTGATTTTCCTACAATTCATGCAGTCAAATTTATGTAATCTAAGAGACTGTATCATGTTTTTAGTTTAACAAAGCACGTTAGGTTACTCTAAGCCTTGTAAAAGAGGAAGGAAAAATAAGAAAGGAAAAAAACCCCCAACCCCCAAAAGGAAGCTGATAGTAGCTTAAAAAAAAATATCCAAACCCCTGTGTGTTAGGCTTGAACAACAAGCAATTACTGTAAGAAGTTCACAGATTTTTAGTCTTTATATCTGCAACAAACTTCTAAGTAGAAATACTTTATGGCATATTTAAGCTGGATTTCTTTTAACCATGAAATGGACAACTCCTGTTGGTCATGCACACAGTAAAAAATATTTACTGTAGTATATATCTAACATATAAAAATCTTGGTGAATAATTCATATTTATTTAACAAAGAATTTTTATCACAAATACTCATCACCAGAGAGCACTGAAGTGAACACCAACTATCCTCAGAAGACTGATGTTCTATTCACAAGCAAAAAACAAAGTGCTGCTGTTGTTTGATGTTCCCAACAGCACAAGTCTATGTCCAGGCATTAGTAAAAGGACAGAACTAAATGGAACATACAAACTCAGTGCCACCAGTTCCAGGCATTCAAAGTTCTCCTCCTCATTTTACAGCCGTTTTTAAAAAACAAACCAGCAACTCCTCACTTTCTTTGGGTCACACAGGCCCAAACAGGCCATTCCTGCATCAGCCTCCTGCTTCCTTCCTGATGAGGAAGGAACAACAAACACCTAAGGCAGGATGCACGTTTTCAGCACAGTTTACAAAAATAATCCCTGCAACAATTTTACCCTGCTAGCAAGAGTACTTAGCCCAGATAGGAAGAGTATTACAATAATGGGAGTTTGAATACATGCATTCCCTCATCGTCACCTCGAAACACACAATATGTTCATTTTTCCAGGAGATTCCAGCTAATGCTCGGGCCCAGGACAAACCCACAAGTCAGACCAAAGGTCTACCTGGCTCAGTATTTCTGCTCAGGCAGAAATCTACGTAAATATATAAAATCCAAGGAAGAAAATATTGGTAATTCACTTAGAAACTCTACCAATCTCCAGTTACTTAGAAGCTCAGAAACTTCCTGAAGCAGAACTATCTTCAGTCTTTGGACACACAAAGGGAAGAATTAAGGCTGTGTAGATATATGTAGATTGCAAAATCATGGCATCACTGAGGTTGGAGGGGACCTTCTCTGATCACTGAGTGCAGGAGCCCTGCTCAGGAAGGGTCACCTACAGCAGGTTGCCAGGACTGTGTCCAGTCAGGTTTTGAGTATCTTCATGGAGACTCCACCACCTCTCTGGGCAACCTGTTCAAGTATTTGACCACCCTCACTACAAAAGAGTGTTTTCCGGTATTCAGATGGAATTTCACGTTATTTTTGTGTCTGTACAATCGGAGTGTCACAGGATGAACTTTCATCATGTTGAAAAGATGACGGGAACAGCTTTGAAAACACCACTTAGGTCAGTGGTATACATCGACTGCATCCTCGGCTCTCATTAAGATGAACTGAAATATGTGGAGCACCCACGAGGTAGCTTTGCAAGCTTTTCTTCTGGTAATGCAGCATAATGGCAGTGAAGTGTCAGCTTCAGTAGCACACACCCTTTCCACTCTGCTGAAACTCTCAATGGTCCTGTTATGGTTCCCTGTGTTGCTGTATTGTTGCCTGTCCTCTCACAAAAACCTGGTTCCTTATTTTTTTCCCTAGGTTAATTGCCATGCAGCTTTAAAACCACTGTACCAGCACGTACTAAAGTAGAGGAGTGAATGGTCAGTGTTGCACAAATGTGCCCCTGGAACTACAGCTCAATCCACAGCGGGACAAGAGACACCTTAGGTCCTCAAATTCAGGCTGCTTTGATTTATGGTCTCAGGCCAGCTGAGAACAAGTGTGGTAACTACGTAGTGCGAAATGGGGACTCTGCTCTGTCAGACATGGTGGTCAGTTATAGGAAATTAGAGACTGAGAGCTTGCTGGTCCAATGCATCCTACTTGAATATCTGATGCTTATCTTGCTGCTTTGCAAAAACTAGTGGTAAAATAACTAATGGTGACATCTAAAGTAACAAACTAGAAGAAAATTCACACCTCTCACAGGAAGTTCTTCACACTGTATTTGACAGAAACATTCATGCTGTATTTAGAACTTTTTTGGGTAATGAAAGACTGAATGCTTTCACAAGAAAATTTAAGAAACTGGGGCACCATTTGCAATACATTCAAAAAACCCTCAGCATTTTACTTAAGCGTAATTCATCACAGTACACACTAAACACAATAGGTAAAATTACACTACTGTCAATGAAACATTTAATTTATGGTAATGACAAAAGCGAAAAACTCTATTAATTGGTAACTAGGGGCCTATTCCTGACAGATTGACTGTATATTCATTCCGGTATACAGCAGTTAGTTTCTATGAGGATATCTGGTATAGCAGACAAAGTGTATTTCTTTCTGGGATGGGCATATATACATGAATTTTGATGGCTGTCTGTGGAAGGATGTGCTTTGTGACTGGGGCAGGGATGTGCTGGCAAGTTTTGCGTTGCTGCTCAGGTGTTGTTGGGTTCCATGTGGTACATGTGGGTCCACATGAAACTTGTTTCTGAATTTGAATCAAGCAAGGTTCTGAAGGAAATGGAAGAGGACCTCAGGCAACAGATTCTAAGAAAAGTTATTTCAAGATAGGACCATCTTTATGTATACAGCAACTGTTCAGGCTAAATTGTAAAGAAAAGTATACAGGCAAAGGTATATATGGGTGACATATACGTGTTCTGACACTGCAGCACCAGTACTCATGCTGCCTACTAAGGAGTCAGTTCTCACGCACGACTTTCCTGTAGTTGAGTATCTAAGCAAAGCAAATTCATCCTGGATGGGACTAAGTGCTAAGCTTTCACACTGCAGTCATACTGACAGCCACATAAGAATTGGTAAATGACCAAAGAATGTGGAAAACTGATTTCCCAAACCAACTCAGATTACATACGCCAGATGGAAAACTTGAAGAACATGGTAGATGCATCTGTGCATGCATGCACACACACATGCACAAATGCAAACAGGGTGTGTTATCTCACTGAGAGAAAATATTTATGATGAAATACTGCAGGTTGTCGTGTATTTTGTATACACTCCATACAAGTGAAAAATACCTAGATATTCAATATGGCAAGGTGAAGACAGGCTTAGATTTAGTTGCCACTATCTTCTGCTAGTTTTATGGTAATTCTAAATAAAACATACACATGTACTATCTTTTACCCTGCTCTAAGAAATACACAGTTAAAACCATTTAAATATAAGCAAGTTTCCAACTAATTTTTTTGCATTTTAAGTCACCTCCAGTGGCTACCACAGCAGGCTGATGACTTCCGTGGAATTCATCATAGTGTATATTCAGATGTCAATCCTGAGTAAGGATAAAGTTCATCCAATTTAATTTGCATAGCTTTGGTTTTAGTGATGTTAAAAAAGTAGCAGACAGTACCTTTACTTACTAACACATCTGGAATTTAAACCAAATACAAAAGTATTCAATTTCTGCCCTCCGTTTTAAGACTAACATTGCTAGGGCTAGTCTCTAAGGAACAATGAGCTGCTTTTTTTTTCTGCCGATAAAGACTTCATAAGGTTGTAACATCAGTTCTTAGTACCTTCCAATTTGGCCCCAAAGGTCCTCTCTTCGTCTTAACTGACTGGAATAACGCAGGGTCTTCATCAGCTTTGTAGTCCTATAATATAAAAAAAACCCCGAGAGTCAGAAAAAAACCCAAAACCAAACCAGATTCAATATCCCACTGTATTAAGCTTCTGTTCAAGACTACCAAATTGATTCTCCTGAGTGGTCTGGAGCAGGACAGGTGAAACACATTTGTTAGGCTGACTTAAGTTTGTATTGAATACTCCATCACACCCGCTCATTCACTGCGTATCACCAGTGGTGCTCATTATGTTTATACTACAACAGCATGCCAGGACTGCCTTCTAGGTCAGAATTTTCTTGTGCTGTGCACTGTGTGACAAACACTATCCTACCTGTTCTGTAAACTTTTGAGAGGAAGAGAAAGCAATAACACAGAAACTAGTGTGCTAACATTTTCCAAGCTGCAACATATGTCCACACAGAACAAAAAGGGAAGGCGGCATAAGTGAGCTAACTTGCAAAATTAGAAACTGCGTAATCTCAAGTCTGTGAGATATCACGAGGATAAGTACAGAGAGGGCACAAGGCAGCAGTCTGAGTGGCACTGCTTTACAATGGACATCACTGCTTACCAAGTCATATACAGTGGGGAAAAAAGCTAGTATCTATAATAGAGTTGAAAATGACAAATGCTTCCAACATACAGATTTACTTAATTTTACTGATGAGGGATATGAAAATATTATTTGATAAAGATGCTACTTTGGAAATTAGGAAAGGATTAAAAACACTGACCTCAGTAACTGAGAACACATAAGGCTTCAACAATGTATGAAAAACATCAACCTAAGAATAACATTACACTCGACCAACCAAGGAGAACTGTAAAAGTTTAAGTTGCTTTAAAGTAGAATAAATGCTTGGTGGGTGCTACAGAAAAGCCAAAGAAAGTTTAGCAGAGTTTAAGGTCTCCTTTTAAAAACAGATTTCAATGAGGACAAAATTTGCGGAACATGGAGTAAAAGAAATACCACCATAAAAGTAGCTTCTGGCATTTCCTCCCAGTCCTGCATCAGAGAGACGTCACAAGGAATCACATTTGTAAACTGCTTCTAAAGCGAATTAAAACTAAACCTTTACCTTTCTAATGCATTCCCCTACATTCAAAATTAAATACTATCAGCAGCAAGATAGACATACATTTAAAAAATGGCTCTTTGAATATTAAAACTGAAATATCAATGTTTCTTCTGAGACATACTAAATCACCTAATTACATCTCTCCTGCAGAAGTAGTGTATTTTGGAGAACTGGTTTCCCTAGACAATAGAATTACAAAGTTCTTGTAGACAAAAGCATGAACATAAGCATGTGTAAAATAAACCCAAACACTGTAACATTATAGAGCAGGAATTGTCAGATGGAGTTATACAGAAGACCACTCTAATCTAATATTCTGTCTTAGTGGCCAGTAACAGACGCTTCATGGAAGGATGCAAATAACCCAGGACAGAGCTATCACTCCAAGCAGTGAGCAGTTTGGTCTTCCCTATTCTGTGGGGTTTTTTTCTGGAAAGGATATAAACTCTTCCTTTATAGAGGATCATATAATTGGGTATTCCTCTCCACTTTTATTCTTGGCCTCAGATGCACCCTGTGAATTACTGACTAATGAATTACGAACTGTGCAAAAGTATTTCCCACTCCCATTCTTCTGAAGGGATTTCATATTTATTCTCCATATTTATTCACTAGGAAAATCCCAAATGAACCTGGGAAAAACAATCCACACAAAAGAATTCCAACCAACCTTCCTCAGCCCTCCCAAAACAGCTCCATTTCTGTTTTTCATGTTTAACTCATGTAACCTGAATTCAACAGATGGTCCTACCACGTATACAGTGGAGGAACTATTACATGAATTAATTGTTTCAGCTGTCAGAAGTATTGAAGATCACATGTAACATGCCAGTTTTCAAATCTAGATTATTCCATTGGCACAGAGGAACAAAGGCTACTTCTAGACTGAAATTCCAAATCCACAGGCAAGGCTACACAAATTAGTTATTAATGCTTTCATAACCATTTTGACATTTACAATGCACTTTTGGCAAGCTAGATGGAACTGGAAAATCCAGGAGGTCCTCTCAGAGGAATGTGATTTCACTTACAGAAAAATCAGCTGTTATTCTCTGATACTTTCTTCTCCCCAATTTTTTCTCATTGTTCCCAGTTCTTTTATTGTACCTACCTACACTATGTATTAAAATAGGCTGAAGAAACCTTCAGCCATTCTGTAATTAACATATCTAGAAACCATTAACTAGTATTCAGATAAACTTCCATATTAGGCATTCAAATATATACTTTAAGAATTGAGCAAATATTTCCTAGAAACATCTAAACGAGTCTAGACATTCAATCATATTGCTAATCAGTATGTTTTATGAACTTCCACAAAATAGTATTTTCCTCTATTCCTCCCGCTAAACTGAAACAATATGTTTATTTAAAGAACCCGTATAATAGCCAGCCAACTTTAGCAGGGTGCTCCCACAGGTGCTAAGATAATACTTTATTTACCTCACAGGGACAATTTGAGGAATCAGCATAAGCACTGTACATTAACATTTAAATTCAACAACACTTAAATGTAAGTCCACTCAAGTTATTATAATTGCAGAAAGACTAACAGCAATATTTGTCATCTGAATTTTAGTAAAAACCCACTTATTTACGATTTTACTGGAATAAAGCACATGTCCTTTTTACAGACATCAAAAAGAGCAAGCATATTCCTTCATGTATGATAGCTTCAGCATGCAGTATACAGCCCTAATTCTCAATTACTGCCGCATGTGAGCAATAGCACTGAGCAAGAGAGCCTGCTGGCTTTGCTCGCAGTCTGTCTCCTCCAGGAAACCAATGGAGGAGGCAAGCAGAGGGCACACAATTTACAGGGCTTGCCACCAGCTGTAGACTTCTCATCTCATTACTTATTTCCAACTACTGTGGGTGAAGACAGCTGCAACCTACTCGAATCCTCAGGTCCTGCATATTCTGGAGGCTGAATGTGATACGCCTTTTTTTTTTTCCCCTTCAATCCTTGGGTGGAAAAAAGAAGACATTTTCTTTACAACCAAATCACCTTTAAGAAATATATGTAAATACTACAGCAGAATATTTTCATAGAAATATATTTATGTTTTAAATTACTGATTATGACTGCCTTTTAACAATTTCACTCAAACACTGGATGGAAGACACTGAGAAAAGGATAAAGCTATAGCAATGGATAAACAATTTTCCAATAAAGATTTTGTTCTAGATAACTAATTCCTGGCACGAGTATTGCTACTGTTTTGGGGTAGCGATGTGCTAAACAGAACCACAAAATACAAGAGTTTCCATATTTTAGTGCCAGTTTTGTAAATAAAATCAGGTACTGCATTGAGATAACCCTGAATTTCTTAGTTTGATTGTCTGAATACCCTGCCAAGGTAGAGCTCATACCATAGTGGTGTAGGGCATATGGATATCCATACCATATACTTCATTTGCACTAGCAATACCCAGAGGAAGCTGCCTGGCCTGCTGTCCCAGTTGTAAGCACAGTCTCGCAGCATTGTATGACAACATCACATTTAGGATGTTCTCATAGTTAAGAGTATCTCTGTGCTTTCTTTAGAGGGAAAAAAGATGAAAGTGCAATAATTATAAAGAGATTGCTGTCATGCTTCCATGGATCACTACAGAGCACAACAGACCAAACTTAAAAGCAATAGAAGGACAATACCAAAATGAGCCCAACGTATGTAATATACAGGAATATTAGAAAACCTGGAGAGAACATAACACAAAATATCTTATGACACTAAAATTCTGTGGTACATCTGTATTTTGAATATTACATTAATTTTTGCTACCCTTTTCTCTAGAAGAATACATTAGAAATGGAAGAGATACAGAAGACAGCAAGAATGATTAATTATGGAACCAATTCCATTCAAATAACAAAGAAAGTAGACCATGAATCTTCAGCCTGGAAAAGACATGACTGAGAGGGATAAAATATGGAAATCTGTAAAACCAGAAAGGGAATATATGTAGGTAGGGACTGGAACTAGGAGAAGCTGAAAACCATAACCATATAAAATTGTCAGCAATCCAAACCAAAAATTTTAAACTACTTTCAACACAAATACAGGCAGAATACTGCCATCAGTGGTCAATAACGACCAAGAAAGAAAGAAAGCACAAGCATCTCTTAGAAGGGAGGGATTTTTTGAAAATTTTTTGCTGAAGGAAAACGAACTCCCTTCTGACAGGCAGTGCTTGGCTGAGCCCATGTGTTTGTGCTGCAACAGTGACATGTTTCTAAGCCATAAAACTTTTTTTTCCAAACTGTTCACTAGAAGGACAGATAAACTGCAGTTCTCCCTCCTTACTAAAGCTACAGTAGTGCATTCTCATGAAGAGTAGGAAGTAATTTGGACTGTTTCTTTACAATGGCACACTCTGCAGAGATTTCTCTACATAACTGTCAAAGAGAAAGGTTACACCAGACAACACAGCTCATCAGCACTGGATTTACCATGGAAAGTGCCAATATAGAGAATGTAGCAAACCACTTCATTTTAACAACAACCATCTCAAATTAAGTGCAACCCTTATGATTAAAACAGAAAAATAAACCACAATTTATTAGTCAATGTAATATTTTTAAGAAAGGCAGTACAGGGAATTAGACTATTTTGAACAATTTTCTGACCCATGAAACAATCTGGGCTGCACTAACATGTGGAGGCACCAAAATGCATAAAAAGGTAGAAAGCAGAACATCTTTTCCCTAAGTGGAAAGATAATAATAGTAATAATAATATAGTATTGCAGGGATGGTGAATTTGTTTATAATATTATTTATGTTTATATTATTTACATTTTATTAGTCATATACTTATTATTTTACATGATATTATAGTAATATTATTTATATATGGTAATTGTTATGTTTATAGTATTTGCCTTTGGTTCCAGTTAGACAGCAATGAATGTAATTGCTACCTAACTAGCCCTTCCTACACCAGT